ATGCATTGCTAAGAACTTCATTTGAACAACTTTAAAGATGATTTTCTCAATATTTAGATTTTTTTGCACCCTCAGATTCCAGATTTTCAAATAGTTGTATCTCGGCCAAATATTGTCCGATCCTAACAAACCATACATCAATGGAAAGATTATTTATTCATCTTTCAGATGATTGAGATAAATCTAAAATTTCGAAAAATTGACCCTTATGACTGGTTTTGTGGTCCATGGGTCACATATTTCACATGTGATTTTAACGGGATTTTTCTGTATAGGTTTATATCACTGCATCTCTGAAGGAAAGCGACTGTCTTCAGAAAAAATTCGATGTCATTTTCATTTCATCTTGTATGTAGTGCCTGATAAAGCAGCGTTTTGTGAGCTCAGCTCTGCTTTGTGTACAGCCGTTATCGGTGAAACCTCTATTTATCCGCTCTAAAAGCACCTCCTGCTGGCAGAGAATGAATTTGCATGTTCAATAAGCCCGTCTGATTTACGCGGGAAACATATTTTGCTTGTTATCAGAAATAATGTACTCTAGAGGGACTTTGCTGTTGTTGTTGATTTTTCGCAGAAGCCACAAAAGCACGCATGCGCAGTAACGTTTGTTTATGTTGTTGGTAACGTTGAATGATCACTGTTTTCATATGCATCTTATTTACATGCAATAACACAATGTACAACATTCAAACGCATGCATCTGTGTTGTTTTAGCATCATTACTATCTTAGTATTTATTCATATTTGGAATTATTTTTTTTTATATTTATATGGTTAAAGTTTTAGTAATTTTGTTGTTTTAGTCATTTAAATGTTTTTTGTTTAAAAAAATATTTTTATTAACTTTTATTTCAGTTTTAGTCTTTTTAGAACTTCACCTTTGAAAAAAATCTGAAATTCTGCCTTCATAAATGAAATTAAATAAGTTTACATTTTTATATTCTATTTTGAATTCGTTTTTATTTTTGTATATTTCATTATCATTTTATTAAAGTTTTAGTAATTTTGTTGGGTGTTTTGGTCATTTGATTAGTTTTTGTGTTTTTTAATGCCTATTTAGTTTTTATTATTTTTTATTTTGCTTTTAGTTTTAGTAATTTTAGCACTTCAACTTAAACCAAACAAAAAATAAAAAATCCTGCCTTTGTAAATGAAATAAAATAAGTAGAATTTTTTCTATTCTATTTTGAATGAGTTTTTATTATTATTTTCTGTTTTCATTTTAATTTCAGCTCAAGTTTTAGTAATTTTGTTATTATTACTTTTTTAAAGTCCATTTCATTTTTATTAATTTTCATTTCAGATTTAGTAATTTTATTACTTCAACTTAAATTCTGCCTTTCTAAGTGAAATGTTTTATATTCTTTAAAAAAAATTATATTTATATTTTCCAGTTTCATTTTAATTTTAATTTAAGTTTCAATAATTTTGTTCTTATTAGTTTTTTTAAAATGTCTTTTTAGTTTTTATTCATTTTATTTCAGTTTTAGTCATTTTAGTACTTAAATCAAATTCTGCTTTCACAACTGAAATAAAATGTTTTTGAATTAGTTTTCATTTGTACATTTTCAGTTTTCATTTCAATTTTTGTTAAAGTTTTAGTAATTTTGCTGTTTTAGTCATTTTTATTAGTTTTAGTTTTGTTTTTAAATATCGGTTTTATTTTTATACATTTTTATTTCAGTTTTAGTAATTATTAGTGCTGTCAAACGATTAATTGCGATTAATCGCATCAAAAAAGTTTTTATTTATATATGTGTGTATACTGTGTATATTTATTATGTATATATAAATACACACACATACAGTATATATTTTGAAAATATTTCCATGCATATATTTATATGAATATAATTGATATTATATATAAATATTTTAAACGTATAAACAGAACATATTTTTCTTAAATGTATACATGTATGTGTTTGTATTTATATATACATAATAAATATACACAATACACACATACATATATTATGCAAACAAAAACTTTTATTTTGGATGCTATTAATCGTTTGACAGCACTAATAATTTTAGCACTAAACGAAAATTTTAAATTTCGCCCTCACAACTAACTGAAATAAGTTTTTTTAAATTTATTTTATTTCATTTCTAATACTGTTTTTCATTTAAATTAATGTAAATCTGTTTAGTAATTTAAGTTTTAGTGCATGTTTGCATAGAAAAACAATGTACAGCAGCAAAGAAAGTATCCATGCATTCATCTGTGTGCAATTTCTATATTCCCTATATTTATTTCTATAATCCGCACCCTTATAGCTAACTTCGTAATGTGCTCACTATCCCCTGTGTGAGACCTGAACCCACTGAACGCACTCTGGTGTTTGTAAGTGCACATAAACAGATGAAGGTTCATTGTGAGAAATGAATCAGACCTGAGGAATGGCACAGAAGTTGAAGACGCTCTGGTTGCAGAGGCGAGACAGATATGCGATGACGTCTGGGACGTGATGGAGAGCATCGGTCACCAGCAGGTTGAGGCAGGACAGGGCAGAGCTCAGGTGCTGAGGACGAGCGAAATCCTCCAGACGGGACGCAAACTGACTCCAGGCCTGCGGCACACAAACAGCCATCACTCACACATGCACTGATCACAACCTCACCAGCAAAACAATGCAAAAATGCTACGGTAAAAAACTGTCTAACGGGACATTTTATGTAATTTTACAGTAAAATACTGTTAAATGCACAGATTTTGGAAGAAAAAGCAATGCAAAAAAAAGCAAAGAATGCAATGCAAATAAAAAGCAACAGTGGAAAAAAAATGCAAACTGACATTCCCACAATTACTTAAAATAAAATAAGCATTAACTGAAATAAAATAAAATATATATAAAAAATTATTTTATTTCAGCTAGTTGCCAAGGCAACAATTCTAATTTTTGTGTAGGTTAAGTTCTAGCACTAAAACTCAAAAATGAAACTTCAAAAATATAGACATTTAAATAAACAAACAAACAAATAAATAAAATGGCAAAACACACAACAAAATTGCAAAACGTTTAACTAAAATTTAAATATAAAATAAACTAAAAATAAAGTGATTAATTTTTTTTTTCATTACTTGAAATACAAAATAATTTAAATAGAAAAAAATATTTAATTTCAGCTAGTTGCCAAAGCAACAATTCTCATTTTTGTTTAATTTAAGTTAAAGTACTAAAATGACTAAAACTAAATAAACAAAAACAAAAACAAAGCTTTTATAATACGTACAGACATAATTAGAAAAAAAAAAACTAAATTTTTAACTAAATTGCTAAAACTTTAACTAAAATAAAAATGAAAACTAAAAATATACAAATAAAATCTAATTCAAAATTGGAACATGATCTTTACTTAATATCCTAATGATTTTTGGCATAAAAGAAAAATGTATAATTTTGACCCATACAATGTATTGTTGGCTATTGCTACAAATATACCCCAGCGACTTAGACTGGTGGTCACATATATGCTTTCCAATTGAAGGTTCATGAGATGCACCTTAGAGCTATTTCAGAGAACTGGTTTATACATTCCCTTCATTAGTGAAAGCCAATATTCACTTGCACAATTCATAGCAAATTTACAAAAAGTCTCATAGAAATGTGTGGAAAATTTGACAGTTTATGACAACTAGATCAACCATTTTGCATTGAATGACTTAAACGATGAACTAATGCCTAGATATTTTGAGGGGTGAGACTATTGCACAGAGAACTAAATAATACATTTTGAGCAACATGACAATAGTAACTGATAATGTAGGAAACCGAGGTTAAATGCACATAATCAATTGCATGAATGTACCAAAGCAATCGCAACTTGTTCAGTAGAATGAGAAACTTCGTTTATGATGTGCACAAGTGACTAGATGATGTGGAGGTTGAACAAGTGGTTTTGAGAATTTCATTTCTGATCTGAGAAATGCACCAAAGCGACTGAGAAAAACTGTATTACTCTAAATGGAATATTAACATTATATCAGTTAATGAAATGTACAGTCTTTTTAAAAATGTTTGTGGTAAAGTTTTGGCAACCACAGCTGCTGGGAAGAGAGCGGGGTTAAAGGTTTGTACCTCCTGCGGCCAGAAGGCCCTTCCCTCCTGCTGGTCCTCCAGATAGTCTCTGATGATGTTGGTCTTCTGGAGGAACAGACCCATGGAGTTCGCCAGCTCCGTGTCCCGGCCCACCTCAGTGTCCTCCAGCTGGGACGCCGAGAACAGACGGGACAGACCGATCCCCACCAGACCGGCCACATAATGACAGTACTGTACACAGCCGGACAGATGTTTACAACATTATGCATGACAAACGTCTCATGCAGAATGTCAGACATGCTTTAAAATGCGATGGGAGCGCTTCTGCATCGCTTTGGTGAGTTATAGGTCTATAAATCTACATGCAGATGGATAAACGTTAAACTAACACGTCAAATACGTGTGTAAAGTTAACCTTGTCCCACTCTTTCATGGAGGAAACCTTCTTCTCCAGGAATTCGGCCATTCCCACACCCATCCGGTGACAAATGTCTGAAATCACGTCACGATACTCCTGGCCCAAATTCCTGAACTCCACTGAAATCTGAGGAAAATGGAACGAAAGTGTGTATTAAAAAAAAGCATAAAAAAAAATAAAAAAAACCATAAAATAATAAACAACAGAGAAGATATTAAAAGCAGAAGTGTAATTAAAACTGCAGCATTTTACAAAAGCAGCAAACAACAACATGCAAAAAAAATGTGGCTAAACAAGCTCAAGAAAACGAACG